TTTAGTGTTCTATTGACCAAATTACTTCTTTCAATTAATTAATCTTTTTTGTAAGGTTTTGGTTGAAATGAAAAACCTAGTGCCACGAGCGGGTCTGAATCCATGGCCTTCGGATAAATGCGCCGTTGCTCTACCACTTGAGCTATCGTAACTTCGATCCTCTCCGACACCAAAAAATGGCAAAAAAGAGAAAATTCGAAAGGTTGTAGGTTGAGATGGGGAGTTGGTGTCCGAGTGGATCGAACTATCGAAGTCACGATAGCTCAAGTGGTTTGCGCAGCGGCGTATTTAGCCGAATGTCGTGGATTCGAATCCCCTCGTGACTCTATTTTTTCATTTTAACCAAAACCTTACAAAAAAAAATTAACGTCTTATTTATATTTACTCCAGCTTGTTACCCCCTTGATTAGAAAACAAAAGACAGTCATGAGAGAAATCATCACTACATGAAAGGTTGGCAACCACATTACGATTTCTCGCTACAGGGATGAACTACATAGAACTTAAGTTCTCTACTACGATTTATGATCATTGTTAGGGGTTATCAATACCGCATCTCTCGTTGCATTTGTATTCTTTGTTTTGAAAACGTCGACCCACTGGTTGAGGATCGAATTTCTTTTATTTTTATCGTGGTAATCATTGTCCACCACTTTCTGCAAACATTGTAAACTTTCATACAATTCAATCACTTCAACAATAAAATCTCGATTGGATGTCATTACCAATAAAGAATAAACGTTTTTGACTTTTTGAGAATGTATGACGGAGATGTTTGCTCAGTGACAGAAAGACGGAGACTGCGCCAAAAAAACGCGGGTTTTCCCATTCACGACCAAGCTAGCGCTCCAATATTCCACTGTTCACGCCAGGTTTTCCCATTCACGAACGCGCCATGCCGTCGTCGCGCCGTAGATATTTGGAATGGCGCGATGGAGTTTGGATCGGTCGAAAATTCAGCACATCCGGGCACGCCAGTTCAGTTTTGCCATTGACGTGGTTTTTGGAACGGCGTCACTCCGTTTGGACTGCTAGGGGCGATCGTGAATGGCCACCTTTAGGTTTAAATTCGTCCTCTAAAGGGATGGTTGATGATAATTCTACTACATCCTTCCAGATGTAACAAGCCTTATGCCAAATCCTCCCTTGTAGATTACTGTTGAAAGCAGTAGAGGTAGAGGCGCAAGCCCCAGCCTCGAATGATGTATTCTGCTCTTCTGCCTTCTTTAAGCTCATCGGTTTATCCCCGTTGGTTGGTTTTGAGTGGCACTTATCTCGAGACGTACTCATAGTTTTAGGGGCTAGCATTCTCTGAGTGAGAGTTGGAGTGGTGGGGAAGGGATACTTAAATGAAAGAACTCGGCTTAATATCCAACTAGCTCCCAACACATTAGGTCTGTATTTGCTAAGATAAGTCCCTGGGCACACTGGTAGTGGAACAGCAGGGGGTGGGTCGATTGACCTAGTAACTGGGCTAGTCAGATGTTTCTCTTTATCAAATTGATATAAGTGCAAACGTTTTTATTGAAAAATTGGAATCATATGTTTTAAAATGACAGCCATCAGGAAGGTGTTGATGTCAGCCTGTCCCACGCCTCCTCGCATGATCTGCACCAAGAAAGACTCGTTCTCATCCAGATCGACACGGGTCCAGAAGGCAACGTTTTCCGCTGTAAAGCTGACTACTCCTAAGATCACATAATCCGACGAGTTGCTAGCGACTTTACACAAAATAGGCGAACCTTTGGCCAGAGACCTCGGCGAGAGGTAAGCACAGCGGATACGATCGTTGATCACACTGCTCTGGAATGATCCGCACGTAAAGGAATGAAGGACGTGAAGGATTCTGCAATAAGTGTCGAGGCATGTGGACAGGTCATTCATCGTTATTATATAAGTCACGCGTGACCTGTACTCAGCGACGAAGCATTCTTCTGACCCATGCCAAGGTTGAAGCGCCCATTCCATCCTTTCGTCGAACGACCCTTGGATCATCCATCCTCCCAGATCATTCACTGTATAATTCCAGTAGGTCGTCCTGCACAGGACATGCGCAAAAGACTTTATAAGGTTGAACCTCTTCCCCTTTGAAGTTTTTATGGTCAGATCTTGGACATTCTTTGCTAAATAATCGTACTCGGGGGGTGGAAAGGAGCCGACGCAAAGGCAGCTCGTGATGACTGTTTTTGATGAGACGATGCCACCCATGCACCAGAAACTTTGGTCGATACGATCCAGAGCAGTCACGGCTAGACCTTCTATTTTCATATAATCAGTTTGATCATCTGGAAACGAAGACACCATGATGAGTAATCCTAATAAGATATATCTGTTCATATAGACTTTCCAGCAGGTAACTTTTAGATTCTAAACATGTGGTCTGCTATTGAGTCATCATGTGTCACAGTCCCTTTTTTTAAACACAAGGTTGGGCCAGTATGAAAGCACAGATCTGGAAATTTTCCAAGCAGGAACGTCTAGACTGGCAATCTACGTTTTCATCTTAATGGGGTGTTGTTGATAGTAAGAAAAGATCAGTTTTAAAAGCTTTTATTGGAATAAAGGAATTACATATTTGACAAGAAGGAAGATGAGCGCGGCGTTGAACGAGGAGAACCGGTCAGCTCTTGCTCCGACTAGCGCCGAGTAAAAGTAACGGTTGGCTGTCAGGTCGAATCGGGTCCAGAAGACAAACATCTCATCCGACCAGCCGACTAGACCTGGTGTGTAATATACAGAAGACTCCTCGTCCTTGACATTACAGAGTATCGGCGAACCTCTGACGGTGCCCGCCTTCTTATGGATGAACCCACACTGGAGCTCAGCGCCGAACAAACTTGCCTTGAAGGAATCGCACTCCTGCCCTTTTTTCGCTAACCGAGTCTCGCAGTAAAAATAGAAGCATTCGTAGTTCATCCCAGTCGCGTTTACCTCGAAGACCCCGGTAACTAGTTTGGTGTAAGAGAGGATGAAGCATTTATTGATCCGCACCTCGGCCTCTTCGAACGTGATGCCGCGGTTGAAGAACGGCATTAGACTGTTGACCGTGTCTTCGAACGAACCTCGGATCTTCCAGCCGCCGAGGTCGTTCACCGTGTAGTTCAAATAACTTATGGCGCAAGAACTGTGCTTTATCACTTTCACGATGGGGTACTCGACACCCATGGATGTCTTGACCTTGTAATTCTTCGGATTGATTTCATCGAAATTGTCGAAATCTGGCGGTGCGAACGATCCGACGCATTTACAGCTCGTGATGACCCCGTTCTTACTCACGACGCCGCCCATACACCAGAAATAGCCGGTTCGCTTCTCAATAGCAGTTACGATGTGGGTGTCCACTGTTTTACCGTTCACCACGTCCGAAGACAAATAGCTAACAATCAAAAACCCTACTAGCAAGTTTGTCCCGAACAATTCCATTGGCTTAAACCGTTGACCTTTTCCTTCCAACTACCACGTATCACTGCACAAATTTCCAACGCGATGCCAAAAGGGGAATGTCGTTTTTTGATCACCTTTGATCATGTGTAATCAAGATTTGGCAATATCGAGTGAAGCATATGACCTATATCACCTGGATTATTTGCTTTTAATTTTTTCATTAAAACATTCATAAATTACAACCACTTTTGTTTATTACATTTAAGGTAATAAAGCTTGGAGAACTTAAGGGCTTAGACAGGGATATTTTTCTATCCGACATTGAAAGTACAAGTGGCCTAGCAGCTTCACAGGTCAAACCTTCAGACCTTGTGTTCTGTAAAGTACCTTAATAAATATCTATATAATTTTAATATTTTCTATATTTTCACTGTTTCGTGAATATATTCTTGGAAGTCTGGATATGTTTTGGACAGGGAAACAGCCAGGTCGTTGTGAGAAAGACTTGAAATCAAAAGTAATGAGTTAAAAAAGTTTTAAGTTAAAATAGAATTCTCACAACGACCTGGTTGTTGAAAGAAACCTATACTTCCATATATTATCTATTAATAAATATCAACCTTCTTGCTTATGGAAAAAATACAATTATGAATGAAGGGGAAAAGTTTTATTGGAAAATTGGAACATGTGTTTTAAAAAGAGAAAGATGATGAACAGGTACGAAGGAGGTCTTTCTAGATTTCATTGAAGAACCTCCTGTCTTCCTTCGAATGGAGGCGCCGTGCCCAGAAGAGTAGGTTGCCTTCCGTTTAGCCGAAGACGCCGTACACGACCTGGAAAGAATCGAGCGGGCGGTAGTTTCTCGTTTCTCGGACATTGTTGACCATGATCATCGGTCAATTCTGCTTTGATTTATAGCCATGAGCATAATTTAACTCACTTCTGTTTGTTCCCTGAAGTTCTGTATTGTTACCTTTAACGTATTTCTTGCTGCTCTATTGTTCAACGTCGGAAATATTTTATAACAAATTAATGTAGCCCAGTGTTATTGAAGTAGTTACGTAGTATATTACATTAATCAGGTAGCACAGGCAAAATTGTTACTTAAAATTGCAGCACACGTGCTTTATAGTCATATTATATTGACTAAAAAAAATCAAGTAGCAGACTTTGATAAGAACTATTTGATAAAATATTAACAAGAGTACGAAACTGTGTATTATCTTATAAATAGATTAAATATCCCATCATGAGATATTGCTCTGAAATTACATTGGCTCAAAATTACAAATTGATTGGGAAAACATTTTTTTAAATATCTAGATACGAAATTACTTGGGGAATTTTATTTAAAGTTAACAGTTGTTTAGCTAATTTATTTACTTCGATCAAGCATTGCAAAATCTGTAGGAAACGGGGCTGTTCTATTTGTAATAGTTGTGTATACCTAGTTTATATTGAGATTGAATGTATTTATTATCGTGAATGTGTGAGAGGATTCGATGGAAAAATAATGAGTACCCCATCGACGATCAATTAGGTTAGTTGTATAAGATGTTTAAAGGGTGATAGAGGAATATCGAGTACCCCACCACCCTAAATGAATGAATGGTATGTAAATAGGAGTGAATGTATTTAAGAATGAAGAGTGCGAATAGGTTTGGAACTGCATACGTTGGGTGCTGAATTGAACCTAGCACTTCCCTGAGCCCAACATCGGTGGCTAGACGGATAAGACTGAGGTCTGTCCCCAGACTGCCGAGGGTGATACTCGAGAATGCTGGCTGTTCCCTCCAACAGCTGGAATTGCCGGTGTACTACGAGAAGGTAATAGACTTATATCGCTTGCCAAGGGATATAACAAGTACGTGCCTTGCCAAGATGTCTAATCTTCCTGGTACTATCCTAGGATACTATCTACTATACTGGTACTATCCGGGGGGGGGGGGTCTGCGAGACCCCCATGGAGGTGAGTACGGACGTTTAAAATTTTAGTTTTTTAACAAAAAATAATTTATTGAGCAACTATATTTAAACACATAATCACCAGCTGATTTTGTTCGTTAATGATTAAACCAGTTGTATTCCTTTGTTTTGTAACTTTGTCCGTTGCCGAACTATGGTTAAATTCTTCTCCATTTGGCCGTGTTTTTTTGAAGGTTTGAATAAAAGATTCTTTCACGCAATCCTGAACCACCTGAGATCTGTCATTCTTCACAATGGACACCAACGGGGATTGTCAGATAAGTGACGGCACTGTAATGACTAATGAAAAATAAATGACATTTTCTGATCGATTAAAAACACAAAAATAATAATTGGTACAGCGATGGGTTCGTAGGTATGAAAGTTTAACAGTGTTACCCGATTGTTAATAGCAGAGGAAAAGATCAACGGCATCTTGATTCATCACGGTTTTCGTTATTTTCTCGAAGGATATTTCATGTGAAAATAACCTCAAAATGGCTGTGTGTTTTCTCTCTCTCCCATTCGTGTTTCCGTCCAGAAAAGTCAAAAGTGGAAGCAACAGAATGACGACCAGTGGCCTAGGCATTTTTCATGAATAGAAAAGCTATCCCTATCAATAGCGCTATTATGAGCAAAGCTTCAATTATGAACACAACTTCATTCATATTTCAAGTCGGACTGATCTAAAAATGCATCTGGAAGACAAAAGAATTCATTCTACTGTTAAAACAAGGTTATAAAGTAATATATTAAATAGTACGAGTTCCAATTGTATTGTTGGTTTTTGTTTTTGATAAAAGCACAATAAAGCAACATATGGTAATTATATGAAAATATTATTTTTATTATATACACATTTTATATTTTCAAACATATAAATAATTACGCCCAATAACAAGCCACTTAAAATGGCACTAAATTCATATGCGTTCAACTCCAAACGTGTTTTGGAGTGCGTAAATTGCCTAATGCTCTAGGAAAATACAAGATTACCTTATGGGGCCCAGAACATGAAGGAATAGAAGAAAATGAACAGTACGACCAACTAACCTAAAAAAGTGCATCCTCATGGAGCCAGAAGCCCAACTAGGGCCACGGGAATGTGTGCTTAAGTTGAAACTGGCAAAATGCTATAGAAAGAAAAATTCAAGCACTGGACAAAAGCACCAGGTATGAGGCAAGCTAAGAGTTTTATAAATCTCAAACAGGAAAGGGAAGGAACTCCACTCTGTCAACAGGCAGGAATGAGGAAAAGTTTAGGGCCGTATAGCGGCCATTGTTCTCTTAACTACCAAATAAAAATGATGGGCAAAGTAGAGACAGAAACATGCCCAATCTGTCAGGAGGAACCAGAGACATCAGCACATACCCTTTCTGAATGTGAACCAGTCACTTCGGTAAAGTAATTCTCACACAAAACCGGAAGACGCACCAAGGAAAACTTATAGGAAATAATGCATTATTAATTAGGGGTTCCACAATAGTTCTAAAAGATCTATTAGGTCGCAGTAGAGGAAAGGATTTTTAAAATTCTTATTCAATTATTATTCTTAAAACAAGCATCGAGCCTATTGGAGTAAACTAAAGAACTAGAAAAAGCACAATAAACCAAAAACACAAGGCTGCAGTGTTTGGGGAATACCAAACCCCGACATCCTCTTATCCCATCATCATCATGCTTAGCTTTTAAAAAATTTATACATTATATACCATCATTTACAATTTTGTGAACATGCTGATTTAGGAAGTAGATGCCCATACGCCATCCATGTCTAAGGCCTTTTGAGATACGAACATCGATTTGATTATCAAATAAATATGAATAATACCAATAGCTCTTATCAGCACTGTTTTTTACATACATGACATTAAAAATAACCGAATCCGGCTTAGGTTTGATGTAGGTTACGTGAGGTTTGGACCGTAACAACTTATCAAGCTTTCAGCAAATTAGCTTAAGTTTCATATTCCTTACTAAACATTTTCAGTAAATAACCACTACTTAGCCTGCATGGGTTAGTTAGTTCTCCAACTATTTCGTTATCATCTATAATTACAATTCGCATCAAATGTTAGTGTTTTATTTATAAAAATGATCAGCTTTTATGAGCAACGTTTCGAAAAGGGTTTCGCGGCTCTTAATTGTGTTCGGGTGTTCCAATGAGGCAAATAGGTACCGTTACAACATTACGAACTGTTTTCCACTTAGCCCATACTGCACGGAGTGACACGCATTCCGCGGCCTGTCCGTTTTTCCTTCTTTGACAACCTACTTTTAACAGTGTAATTCCAGTAATAAAGAACCCGGACCAAGAACCTCTTGTTCAGGATCTACAATGAGGAAAAAGAAAACATTTTCTCATGCTTAGGATCCTTTGAGGAATAAAAAGGATTCTCTTATCCAAGATTTGTTTAAATAATGTTTTTTGTCCTCATGATATGTCATACTAAAGTCTAAGGTTAGAAATATATAAATCTGTAGTTTGGTCCTTAAGGTCATTTTGGTCTACCTGTTCTAGTTGTTTTGGACTGTCAGATTAATAACCAATCTGTCTATATGTATGTCTCTCAAGAATAACATTACTTTTATATATATGTTAGTATCACACACTCGCAGACAAAACTTCTTTTTTTTTCACTGACGTCACAAATGCACCGAAGTAGACAATGCCATTTTTCATTTATTTTAATTGTTGACTTTCTCATTCATTCTTTTCTGTGCTATCTCAACTCTCTCACTCTCTCTCTCTTTCTCTCTCTCTCTCTCTCTCGCTCTCTCTCTCTCTCTCACACTCTCTCTCTCTCTCATTCTCTCTCTCTCTCTCTCTAACGTCCTGGCGTCGGAAAATCGTGATATCTTTTAATCTAAACATTTCTCTTAAAATCTATAAGCACCGTTGAAATCCCCGTTAATTTTTAGAGAGAATCAAAATCATAATTCCATTGAAATTTTTTAATTTAATTTAATGCCCATTTAGTATGTAATGCTTAAGAAGTTTACAAACAGCTAGAAGGTCAAGGAAGAAAGACCCAAACGTTTTGCCACCTTCATCTTCTTATTGAAAAATTAACGGGGATTTCAACGGTGCTTATAGATTTTAAGAGAAATGTTTAGATTAAAAGATATCACGATTTTCCGACGCCAGGACGTGATATCTTTCAAAATCGATAAAAAGCGAAATTACTCTGAAATGGTTGAGAATCGGACCATGGTCAATATGAACTTTTTTGTTCATTTTAGGGTCAAGAATCTACTGGTGAAGTTTGTAGCACGAGTAGCAAGTCACTCTCAAACATTAGCAATCCTTGAACCACCATTTTTTCTCTTTTTGTCATCAACATCTTGGTCTCACAACCACTAAATAAGAAAATGACGAGTGCGTTGGAAGCGTTATTAAATCAGGTAGTTTTCCTCAAATTTGCTGCCTTCTGAGACTAAAATTAGAAACTCTGGATTACTTTATACACTTTCCGATTTACACAATTTTCCACTCTTTTTGTAGTTCTGGCTGAAATAAAACACAAAAAATTAGCCCAAACATTTTGCCACCGTCATCTTCTTATTGAAAAATTAACGGGAATTTCAACGGTGCTATTAGATTTTCAGAGAAATGTTTAGATTAAAAGATATCACGATTTTCCGACGCCAGGACGTGATATCTTTCAAAATCGATAAAAAGCGAAATTACTCTGAAATGGTTGAGAATCGGACCATGGACAATATGAACTTTTTTGTTCATTTTAGGGTGAAGAATCTACTGGAGAAGTTTGTAGCACGAGTAGCAATTCACCCTGTATATATGTATTTATCAATCTATCTATCTCTCTTTTTCTCTCAGAAAATAAAAAATAACATATCTCTCGTGGCAGCTCTTAATGATTGTACTATTTCCCCCTGCTATCATTTTCCATCTATATTGGATCATTAAATTCGATAAGACATTAAAATTTTTTTTTTTGTTACTTAAGGATTATTTTCACTACCATTAACCCAATTGTGTGGACAGAGATGATGTGGTATCATAGGTTACAATTAAGAAAGTTAGTTGCGCATAAAGTAGAGCAAGTAGGTCCTTTTGAGGTGCAGGTTTTCCTAAATGTGGCTGCGGTTTTCTCGGACAAACTGTTTTCCATTTTGTCTCTTTTCCGTTTTGCATTCCGTTGTTTAAAAAAAATTGTAAAGTTTAAATTTGAATTTTCATCCTTTGCAAGTACGTATGTTTTTTTAAATTAATTACCATTGATTACTCCTGATATCATTTTTTTCTGAAAAACTAAACAAAAAACAATCATTTTATGCTAGTTTTATTCAACCTAGATATTTAATATCGCGTCCTTTAAACATATAAATCTCACTGTTTAAATTCTTTAATTCTCAAAGAATCAATCCAACAGGTTTTCCTAATCAAGAGTCAAGAGAGCATAGTTAACTGGTAACATAAAACCAGATGATTCATGATTTATAACGAAATGGCTTGAACATAAAAATAAAGAAAGTGTCATTTTTAAATTAGATATGAAAATCACCATGTTAATGGTACTTACATGATTTTCAGTTAATCGGTGGTCCGCCTGTGCTCGCTGCATAAACTTGCTATACCAGCCATACGTTCATTTTAAAATATTGTGATACTTCATCATCAACTGTAGTTTATTATTTATTTATTAAAACATAAATTTCTATTTCAAACAGAAATAAACTTGCACTTACTTTTGTTAATCTAGATGATTCCGATTATTAAATCCGTGCATTCTCGCTTTTAATCACGGTTTTTATAAATATATTTAACATGGCGAAAGAGCTTTGGATCGTTTATGTTAATTTGTAATAATTTTCAAATTCGGCTGCCCAAAACTTGAAAACTTTGATTTAAAAAAATCATTTATAATGCAAATTGATCATTACAAGTCGTACCAGTTACTGTAATTTTATTAAAAATTAAACGAAATTGTACTTTTACCTTCTCCATTTTTCTTTTTAAAAAAATAGTTCATCATTTTTTGTACATTTTCTCAAACTGCGGACAGACTTACAAACGACTTGTTATAACAGTTTTTGATGATCAGGAGTGATCATCTTTAAGATAACCCTCCGTACTCTCCTTTCGCACATATTAGGAGTCCAGTTGTCGACGGATGCCCGCATTACTCAAACTACCATGTATGTCTCGTGTACAAGAGCCTAGAAGAAAATTCGAGCTTTGCAAATACAGCTCACGGCCTCCGTATGAACCAGTTTATCCGCACAAACACACAAGACGACTCGGATACAAAACCTAATCGGACATTTAGAGTCAAGTTTCATGGAGATCAAACGGGTGAAAAGATGGTCTCACAAGATTTTGGTTATTTTGGACGTGCGCCGAAATTTAAACGGAACAGGATATTATCTATTACAAATCTGGTCTTCTTACCTGCTTCTAATTGAATTTGAATTCCAGGGAATTGAAGCTTTTTGTGTTACTTTGAATTAGTAATTTTATTTACACAAAAACAGCTCTTATAAAAAAAATATAAGAACAAGCTTATTTATAACTAAAATTATAATAAATTATTAATAAATAATAAATAAGATAAATAAATAGAATTTTTTACATAACTTTACAGGTCCTTGAATTGAGCATTGGACTTAAATATCAGGTGAGTTTAAAGCACTGGAGAAAAAAGTAGATGTGACTAATACCCGTTTTGACCTTGTACCTTAAATTAAAATTGTCTTTTGTTTCACATGCAAAACGAGTGTAGCACATGAACTTTGCCCCTGTTGGCCGGCTCGCCGTTCCCGAATTTTGACCCGATGCTGTTTCTTTTTCTGAGAGATTGCTTTCTCCTGATTCGCTTCGAGTTCAAGCCGTAATATTCAATCCTTCTTCAGGCCGACTCCGACTGCGAACAGGGCGAAGAAGAATCCTGCGAATCCGGTCGTTGCGACCATGAGTACCAGGCCACCGAGGAGGAGGGGCACCAGGGTGAAAAATTTGAGTTTATACGCGAGAAGAAGAGGTAGCATGTATTTTTTGAGCTTTTTGAGCCCTTTGATCTTTTTGTGGCTCTTCCCTTTTTTCTTTGCTTTCTTCAGGTGGCTTGATGGGATCTTCTGGGACCTTTGGGTCGTCGTGGCCGAATCAGAGACGTGAACGGGCCGGTGACTGTGCGGCCGATGCTTGTTGTGGGTGTACTTGTTCACCGTGCTGTGTCCGGCATCTGCATCTTCCACTTCATAATCTATAAAAAATAAAAATATAAATAATTATCTTCATAATCTGAGTGACTTCCAAACCAGCGAGAAAGTAGACTCAGCAGATGCGGATCATTTTAGCATAATCTATCATGTAACCCTCGCCGGGTTGGCCTGTATGGTTTAGGGTGTCAGAGAGTGTCTCAAAATCAATTAATAATATTGCAGCTTATAGACGGTTTTAATCCATGCCGTTATGTTATGTTCTGGTATAAATTTAGTTTTGTTTTGTAATCATTCTGTATTAATAAAGCATTATAATTATTATATTATTATTGCTGCTTGTAACGATAAAAATGTTCTCCGTCAGCATGACAACTCTAGGTTATAAATTTCAAATAGTGAAAAATTAATAAACTGGAAATCGCTCTTTCTCTCATTCGGCTTGCAGACACGTCCTCACTCTTTCGAATTACCACTTATTCCAGTCCATGGATCACTTTCTGGTAGGCCAATCAAGACTGAAGTAGTAAAAGCTAGTATCAAGTAATCAACCTCCTAAGTGCCATTTTGGTACTGGAAAGTAATGAATTACCGGCTTAAAGCCTTGAAACGTCGAGTTGAAAAGAAAGATAAAGATTTTTTATTCAATCCGTTTTAATAAAATTAATCCGCAAAATTTGATGGATTTTTATACACTTCTAAGTTTATAGTCTTCCTTACTATATAGTATAGAGAATTTTTTTTCAGAAGGAATCAAATATTTCAGGCTCATAAGGGAACAATCGGGTTGGTGTGTCACGGATATGTAACAAACTTTTTTTGATGATTCTACACTCCAAAATATTGGACACTTACCCGCCTCTTCTTATGAATAGGACCTGCTTTCACCAAAAAAATTTGAAAGTTGAAATTTTTCGTTTTTTAATATTTTTATTTCACCGTTCTACTTGCTCAAATCAACTATGTGAATATATCATTTTTCAGAATTTTTTATGTACATTGCAACAAAAATATAGTAAAAGCTATCCAAGTTTATCAATAACCAAACAAATTCTAAAATCCAAATTTTTTGAAAGAAAACTAAGTCATAAACATTTTTGTTCGTAAAACTAATTTGAAATTTTTGATTTTGATTTGAAAAGATAAATCAACAAAATACTGGGTTTTTTTTTCACATTCTAACAAATATTATATAAGCAAACTACGTCAGAAAATAGTCAAAACTTGGATTTAATCTCATTGTCGTGATTCTAGCGTTACAAAAACCCCTACATACCGACTTTCGTGGAAATCGGTCTAAATTAATTTTTTGACTGATAATTTTCTCCGTGACTGACGGTCCTAGTGCATCCTCTAGCATTACTTTTTTCAATAGACCGATTTTCATGTTTGATAATTAGTTTTAAAGAAATTCTTAAGTGCACTTTATAACTGCATCAAACATTAAAATCGGACTACTATTTGCATTTTAAAAAACGATGTTAAATAGTTTTCCTGTTTTGTGTATTTTCTTATAGAAATCTTTTATACATTTGCTTGAAACATACATCGTTAAAAACCTACATTCCTCTACTTTCGAATGGTGTGTTTGAAGTCAAAATCTTTTTAAATGTTTTTGACTTATAGCTGTTAAAATCAGATAGTCCGATAATGACTTCTTAAAAATAAAATAAAAAATTAGGGGTCAAAAAATTAATAAATTTAAATTCAAACAATAATTTATATTTAGGGATCTCTACAGGTGCTAAAACGAAATTTAATATTACTTTGACGAACATTTTTTTATAACCTAATTTATGAATAATTCAAGCAAAAATTTATATTTAGAAGTATATAGGGTAGTTAGAAGTATATAGATAGAGTAGTATTTACTACTAGTATTTAGTATTTACTACTACTATTTACTACTAGTATTTAGTACTATAGAGTAGTTTAGAAGTATATAGATGCTAAAACAATTTCAAATTAGTTTCCCGAAAAAAAAATGTTTATGGCCTAGTTTACTTGAAAAAAATTTGGTTAGAACTTTTTTGGTTATTGATAAACTTGGATAGCTTTTACTATATTTTTTTGCAATCTACATGAAAAATTCTGTAAATTGATATATTGACATAGTTGATTTGAACAAATAGAACGGCAAAATAAAAATATAAAAAACGAAAAATTTCAATTTTCACTTTTTTTGCCGAAAGCAGGGCTTATTTATAAGAAGTGGCGGATACATGTCCAATATTTTGGAGTGCAGTATCACCAAAAAAAGTCTGGTCTAAATCCATGACACATCAACCTTGTCCCCTTGTCAGTAATGAAATGCAGCAATCATGAAATAGTCATTCAGTAATTTTCGTTACAATTATTTATAAATCTTTGGAATTTTTCTGTACAACTTTTACTGTTAATTTAACGCCTCTGATTCCCATGTATTGTCGTGAATTATCTGAAAAACAATCCCACCTTTTATAACAACTAATCCGGTGGTCCACTGGCCTATTTTAGGCCAGGAGAACAGCAGGTTAATTTCCACGGGTCGTGATCTTTGGTGAAAACGAGATAGGTTTTCACTGAAGCGATCGTGTGTCTATCGGTTGAACAACAATGCCCCGAAAAGTTTGCAGGTCGCGAACCCTGTTGAGGTTTTTGTTCCGTTCCGAATCAAGACCCCCGAAGTCACAGACGGCCACGATTCAAAAATATTGAGAAAAATAAAAGGAATTGGCAATAGTTTACATCGAAATTTTATAATTAATATAAGAAAACCGTAACAAACAGTACGAATAAACTATGAGAGAAACTCTGTAAACGAGGAAAACGTGAATTATATTTCTTTACTGTAACTTCTAAACATTTTTTGGCCTGTCAGTCGCGTTTAGCCTTCTCCATTGCCATCTCCAGTGGTAGATTTTTGTCTATGTATTAATAACATATCCCACATACTCACAACTGAAGACGGCGAAAAGCAAAAACAGCGTGGAAAGGCAGAAAAAAAATGATGAAAAACGACTGATCTAAAGACATTCAATTTTTTTGTTCTCTTCTGTTGAACAAATTGAATACTGTATTTATACAATTTATTATTATTTTTATTTTAAAAAGATGAATTGAAAAATATTGTCAATTGATTACTTTAAACATAGCTGACCTGGTTGCAGTATAAAGGAAAAAATTACTTTGGCAAAGACAGACCGTTTAGATTCCTTCCAAACTGTCCAGGAGAGCTAGGGACTTCTCTAAGTGAGAAGTAACAGATGTTTGAATTGAAGTAGCTTCCAAAGAGTCGTCCAACCGTGGAAGAAGCGGTTGATAAATGTTCTACCAGGTAGTGACACATTATAAGCATACAGTTTCCTCCCTATGATATGTTTAATCATTGTGTACATAATGTCAAAAAATTATTTCTTTAGGGAAAAAATAGAAATATAAAAAAATACTGTTTTGTTTTTAATCATTATTTATTTTTTAAACCTAGTTTTGTTAAGAGATCAAATGAACTATCGAGTAGTGTCGTGAACAATTGTGTGAATGATCGATTGAATGAGGGAGTGAGTAATTTAACTTAATAATAACGTTAATAAGTTACTGAGTTATAGACTTGGGTCTATACGATGAGATTAATTTGACAATTATGTTGAGTGACTAGTTAGGATGTGAATAAGGCTCTGGATAAGAGGCTAAAAGATTAGGCGAATGAGCGATTGTGAGATGTACGCCCACAAATTCCTGTTGATTTGTGTGAGTGTAATATCGGCCGAGTAATTGGCTAATTCAATGAGTTTTCGGGATATTGATTGAATGATAGTATGAACGAATACTATAGTTTTCGCGAATGACTAATTGGGTGAAAGAATAAAGTTCTGGCTGAGAAGTTATTGAATAAATTGAATGAGAGGTTTGGTAAGTGAATGAGAGTAGTATTCCTTCAAGTTCCAGTTGATTATTGTGAGTACAAAAATGTGAGAGATCGATTGAGTAAGTTGCAGACTCAGTGAGTTATTTAGGCGAATGATTGAATGGTTGAAGTGTTGATAGTTTGATAGTTTTTGTGAATGACCAGTTGGGAGAGTGAATTAAGTTGTGATTGTGATCAAATGTCGGCAATTATTACAGGTGTATAAGCTGAGCCCTGAGCTCATGAAAAAACCATGGTTTTCGGAAGGCGATAGCCCAGAAGGAATGTCAAAGGAGTTCTATTCTACTATTTTTAGACTGAAGACAAATCATGGCCTATGAGGTAGCAAGAAGAGAATCGGTTTGGCATCGTCTCCGAACTGTCCCACTTGCGATTGCCCTTCAAATCCTTCCCAGATAATTTTTGAATGTCCAGAATACGAAAATGAAAGAGATAAACTGCTCTGAGCAAAATCCCAAACCAATAACCTTAGAATCTGTTCTAATAAGCAACAATCCATCAGCATTCAACATAATCTATGGATTTCGAAAGTCGACAAACGTTTCTTTTTGATTATCTTCAACCATGAAAATTTAGAAGATGAGAAGATGATGGAGCTGAGTGAGTGGGTGCGGGCGAGCGGCGGGGACCTGGTCCGCTCGACAGTAAAATGAAAATAGAAAACTTCATGGGTAATATGCCAGCGTAAATCCAAAAAAAAAGTTGTGATTGTGAGAGGATATGAAAGACTC